GGGGAGTCGATTCAGTGGCTAGCTTTGCACTTGGCTGGCTAACAGTAGCTGCTAGGGGTAAGTTATAACCTACATTTGTGTTTTCTTTTTACTTACTGGTAACCAGAGTCGATCAAGGGAATTCAGGACATGGGTGACTAGTTAATGTTAGCTTGGCTCTCTGTGTGTTCATGCCGTGGGAGGAGTTCTGTTTTTTTTCGTTGGCAGAGAGCAATGGCTAGCTAGTATGCTAACTATTCTAGCTAACTAACTGGCTGAATAAGTTGACGACGGACTCGCTCAAGCTGTCGGGACTAACCCAGAACTTTACACAACGTTAGACACGGACACGAATGATCTGCTTGGCGTGTTGACACACTGGTGGTTTGTTGTGGCCGAGTATTGGTGCTAAACCGTGTTGTTGGAGGCTGGCATGCTAGTTGGCTGTGGCGTCATAGGATTCGGTGCCCTGGACGGTTTTCACGGAAGAATACTGTACCAAGTTAGCTAGCTGAATAAACTAAGTTAGTCTATTCCTAGAAAACATTGAACCGCTGTAGTTTACAACAATTATAGTTTCTCAGGTGGAAGTTGGGAGAGTTATATTTGGGTGTTTCAATTAAACGGAAGTGAGGGAGGCCCCGCTCTCTCGCTTTCCCAGATGTTTAGTTCATCTCTCCTCGTCTGACCATGTGTTCTCGCATACCCCGAGAGCATCTGGTCTGCGGGGTGGTGGCACAGGAATCCTCTTCTCTCCCAAGTGGACATTCTCTCTTTCTCCCCTGACCCATCTGTCTATCTCCTCATTTGAATTCCATGCTGTCACAGTCACAAGCCCATTCAAGCTTAACATCCTTATCATTTATCGCCCTCCAGGTTCCCTTAGGGAGTTCATCAATGAGCTTGACAAGTTCCTTTCCTGAAGATGGCTCACCCCTCACAGTTCTGGGTGACTTCAACCTCCCTACGTCTACCTTTGACTCATTTCTCTCTGCCTCCTTCTTTCCACTCCTCTCCTCTTTTGACCTCACCCTCTCACCGTCCCCCCCTACTCATAAGGCAGGCAATACGCTTGACCTCATCTTTACTAGATGCTGTTCTTCTACTAATCTCACTGCAACTCCCCTCCAAGTCTCAGACCACTACTTTGTATCCTTTTCTCTCTGGCTCTCCTCCAACACTACTCACTCTGCCCCTACTCAGATGGTAATTCGCCGTCGCAACCTTCGCTCTCTCTCTCCCGCTACTCTCTCCTCTTCCATCCTATCATCTCTTCCCTCTGCTCAATCATTCTCCCTCCAATCTCCTGATTCTGCCTCCTCAACCCTCCTCTCCTCCCTTTCTGCATCCTTTGACTCTCTATGTCCCCTATCCTCCCGGCCGGCTCGGTCCTCTCCTCCTGCTCCGTGGCTTGACGACTCTTTTCTCTGTGTATATCAATGACGTCGCTCTTGCTGCTGGTGACTCTCAGATTCCACCTCTACGCAGACGACACCATTTTGTATACATCTGGCCCTTCATTGGACACTGTGTTAACAAACCTCCAAACGAGCTTCAATTCCATACAACACTCCTTCAGTAGCCTCCAACTGCTCTTAAACACTAGTAAAACTAAATGCATGCTCTTCAACCGAACGCTGCTTGCACCCGCCCACCCGACTAGAATCACTACTCTCGACGGGTCTGACCTAGAGTATGTGGACAACTACAAATATCTAGGTGTCTGGTTAGACTGTAAACTCTCCTTCCAGACTCACATTAAGAATCTCCAATCCAAAGTTAAATCTAGAATCGGTTTCCTATTTCGCAACAAAGCCTCCTTCACTCATGCTGCCAAACATGCCCTCGTAAAACTGACTATCCTACCGATCCTTGACTTCGGCGATGTCATTTACAAAATAGCCTCCAACACTCTACTCAGCAAATTGGATGTAGTCTATCACAGTGCCATCCGTTTTGTCTCCAAAGCCCCATATAATACCCACCACTGTGACCTGTACGCTCTTGTTGGCTGGTCCTCACTACATATTCGTCGCCAAACCCACTGGCTCCAGGCCATCTATAAATCACTGCTAGGCAAATCCCCGCCTTATCTTAGCTCATTGGTCACCATAGCAACACCCACCCGTAGTCTGCGCTCCAGCGGGTATATCTCACTGGTCATCCCCAAAGCCAACACCTCCTTTGGCCGCAATTCCTTCCAGTTCTCTGCTGCCAATGACTGGAACAAATTGCAAAAATCTCTGAAGCTGGAGACACTTATCTCCCTCACTAACTTTAAGCATCAGTTGTCAGAGCACCTTACCGATCACTGCACCTGTACACAGCCCATCTGAAATTAGCCCGCCCAACTACCTCATCCCTATATTGTTATCTATTTTGCTCATTTGTACCCCAGTATCTCTATTTGCACATCATCTCTTGCACATCTATCATTCCAGTGTTAATACTAATTGTAATTATTTTGCACTATAGCCTATTTTATTGCCTTACCTCCATAACTTGCTAAATTTGCACACTGTATATTATATGTATTTCTGTTGTATTTTTGACTTTGTTTTGTTTTACCCCATATGTAACTGTTTGTTTTTATCGCACTGCTATGCTTTATCATGGCCAGGTCGCAGTTGTAAATGAGAACTTGTTCTCAACTGGTTTACCTGGTTAAATAAAGGTGAAATAAAAAAATAAAAATAAAAAATTGCGAGCTCACAGAACAGGGCTCCGGGAAGCGGAGCAGAAATTTAGGAAAACTAGACTCCCTGCGGACCTGGCATCTTTTCACTCCCTCCTCTCTACATTTTCTTCCTCTGTTTCTGCTGCTAAAGCCACTTTCTACCACTCTAAATTCCAAGCATCTGCCTCTAACCCTAGGAAGCTCTTTGCCACCTTCTCCTCCCTGCTGAATCCTCCTCCCCCTCCCCCCCTCTGTGGATAAAAAGAATGTTGACGATATCCGATCCTCGTTTGTTAAGTCAAATGACACCACTGGTCCTGCTCATACTGCCCTACCCTATGCTTTGACTTCTTTCTCCCCTCACTCTCCAGATGAAATCTTGCGACTTGTGACGGCCGGCCGCCCAACAACCTGCCCGCTTGACCCTATCCCCTCCTCTCTTCTCCAGACCATTTCCGGTGACCTTCTCCCTTACCTCACCTCGCTCATCCTTGACCGCTGGCTATGTCCCTTCCGTCTTCAAGAGAGCGAGAGTTGCACCCCTTCTCAAAAAACCTACACTCAATCCCTCCGATGTCAACAACTACAGACCAGTATCCCATTCTCTCCAAAACTCTTGAGCATGCCGTCTTTAGCCAACTCTCTTGCTATCTCTCTCAGAATGACCTTCTTGATCCAAACCAGTCAGGTTTCAAGACTGGTCATTCAACTGAGACTGCTCTTCTCTGTGTCACGGACGCTCTCCGCACTGCTAAAGCTAACTCTCTCTCCTCTGCTCTCATCCTTCTAGACCTATCTGCTGCCTTTGATACTGTGAACCATCAGATCCTCCTCTCCACCCTCTCCGAGTTGGGCATCTCCGGCGCGGCTCACTCTTGGATTGCGTCCTACCTGACAGGTCGCTCCTACCAGGTGGCATGGCGAGAATCTGTCTCCGCACCACGTGCTCTCACCACTGGTGTCCCCCAGGGCTCAGTTCTAGGCCCTCTCCTATTCTCGCTATACACCAAGTCACTTGGCTCTGTCATATCCTCACATGGCCTTTCCTATCATTGCTACGCAGACGACACACAATTAATCTTCTCCTTTCCCCCTTCTGATAACCAAGTGGCGAATCGCATCTCTGCATGTCTGGCAGACATATCAGTGTGGATGACGGATCACCACCTCAAGCTGAACCTCGGCAAGACGGAGCTGCTCTTCCTCCCGGGGAAGGACTGCCCGTTCCATGATCTCGCCATCACGGTTGACAACTCCGCTGTGTCCTCCTCCCAGAGTGCAAAGAGCCTTGGCATGACCCTGGACAACACCCTGTCGTTCTCCACTAACATCAAGGCGGTGACCCGATCTTGTAGGTTCATGCTCTACAACATTCGCAGAGTACGACGCTGCCTTACACAGGAAGCGGCACAGGTCCTAATCCAGGCACTTGTCATCTCCCGTCTGGATTACTGCAACTCGCTGTTGGCTGGGCTCCCTGCCTGTGCCATTAAACTCCTACAACTCATCCAGAACGCCGCAGCCCATCTGGTGTTCAACCTTCCCAAGTTCTCTCACTCACATCACCCCGCTCCTCCGCACACTCCACTGGCTTCCAGTTGAAGCTCGCATCTGCTACAAGACCATGGTACTTGCCTACGGAGCTGTGAGGGGAACGGCACCTCCGTACCTTCAGGCTCTGATCAGTCCCTACACCCAAACAAGGGCACTACGTTCATCCACCTCTGGCCTGCTGGCTCCCCTACCTCTGCGGAAGCACAGTTCCCGCTCAGCCCAGTCAAAACTGTTCGCTGCTCTGGCACCCCAATGGTGGAACAAGCTCCCTCACGACGCCAGGACAGCGGAGTCACTCACCACCTTCCGGAGACACTTGAAACCCCACCTCTTTAAGGAATACCTGGGATAGGATAAAGTAATCCCCCTTACCCCACCCCCCCCAAAAAAAAAAAAACTATTGTAAAGTGGTTGTCCCACTGGCTATCATAAGGTGAATGAACCAATTTGTAAGTCGCTCTGGATAAGAGCGTCTGCTAAATGACGAAAATTTAAAATGAGATAAGGCGTCTATCCCACTGAGGGGCTTGTAGTGAAGGTTTAAGGTATCATAGTGAATCCTACAGACAAGCCAGGGGGATTTCAACCCAAGAAGACAGGCTAGAGGAGCTAGATAGATTAGGACACCTGCGACAGCAGAGTATTGTATTGTGAGATACAAGGATTTCTTTATTGATTGAAACAATAGCTTGTTTTTCTGGAATATCAGATCTTACGTACAGTACTGTGTGTGAAACAAATACAGTTAAAGAAAATAAAACAACAATGGTCGTTACTACTGCACTTACCTCAACTCGTTCAGGTTACTCAGTATCTCCTGTTGTGTTGCGACCACTGCACCCATCTCTTTACTAGGAGCCTAAAGAAGATATATCAAACAATTCAATTAATAAAGTTATCATACCTAAGGGTAAATTACTGAAACAAGTTTGAGTAAAGGCTTCACCTTTTTAGTAATAAAACTGGTATACATACAGTGCCTTCAGAAAATATTCATACCCCTTGACTTTGTTGTATTAAAGCATGAATTTTAAATGGATGAAATTGTTAAATTAATTAAATTGTGATGTTTTGTCACTGGCCTACACACACACACACACACACACACACACACACACAGAATACCCCATAAATGTCAAAGTAGAATTATGTTTTTACAAATTAATTAAAAATGAAAAGCTGAAATGTCTTGAGTCAACTATTCATCCCCTTTGTTATTGCAAGCCTAAATAAGTTCAGGAGTAAAAATGTGCTTAACAAGTCACTAAATAAGTTGCATGGACTCACTGTGTGCAATTATAGTTTTTATAGTTAATCTCTGTACCCCACACATACAATTATCTGTAAAGTCCCTCAGTTGAGCAGTGAATTTCAAATCACAGATTCAACCACTAACACCAGGGAGGTTTCCAATGCCTTTCAAAGAAGGCTACCTACTGGTAGATGGGTAAAAAAAAAAAGACATTGAATATCCCTTTGGGCATGGTGAAAAAGTTGTTAATTACACTTTGGATGATGTATCAATACACCCAGTCACTACAAAGATACAGGCGTCCTTCCTAACTCAGTTGCCAGAGAGGAAGGACACTGCTCAGGGATTTCACCATGAGGCCAATGGTGACTTTAAAACAGTTGGAGTTTAATGTGATAGGAGAAAATTAAGGATGGATCAACAACATTGTAGATACTCCACAATACTAACCTAATTGACAGAGTGAAAAGAAGGGATCCTGTACAGAATAAAAATATTCCAAAACATGCATCCTGTTTGCAACAAGGCACTAAAGTAATACTGCAAAAAATGTGGCAAAGCAATGCACTTTTTGTCCTGAATACAAAGTGTTATGTTTGGGGCAAATCCAATATAACACATTAATGTGTACCACTCTCCATATTTTCAAGCATAGTGGTGGCTGCATCATGACCTAAGCACAGGCCAAAACCTAAGCAAGGCCAAATCTTTTGACTTAAAGTTGACTTCAATCTGCTTGAAAATCTATCGCAAGACCTGAAAATGGTTGTCTGGGAATGATCAACAACCAATTTGACTGAGCTTGAAGAATTTTGAAAATAATAATGGGAAAATGTTGTACAATCCAGGTGTGGAAAGCTCTTTGATACTTACCCAGAAAGAGTCACATCTGTAATTGCTGCCAAAGGTGATTCTAACATGTATTGACTCAGGGGGTTCACTACTTATATAAATCAAAATACATATCTTAGTGTTTTATTTTTCATTCATATTTTTTAGAAACGTTAGATATTTTTTCTCCACTTTTACATTAGAGAATTTTGTGTAGATCATGAACCAAAAACTACAATTAAATCAATTTTAAATCCCACTTTGTAACAACAAAATTTGGAAAAAGTCGAGGGGTGTGAATACTTTCTGAAGGCACTGTATGACCATGGCCAGTGCTTGCCTTGGGCAGGAGCTAACAGGAGCCGAGTACCAGCACCTCAACATTTTTATTACTCGAGTTCCTGCACCTCTTATATAATATTCGCTCAAAAGTGTTTGAGATCTTGCACCTAAATATAAACAGTACCAGCACACAACAAGTCAAGCAATGTCAATGCCTCTACTGAGGTGAACAAAACAGAGTAAAAGGCTGAGGTTAGTGGCATAGTCAGCAGTGGATTTATGAATGACACCTTCCGTCTTCGATGCAAGGCTTCTGTCAGAGCACCATATTTAGAGGCCTACACAAGGAAGTAGGTAGTTGCAATTGTGTGTGTAATGTAAATGTTTGTGCGCGCGTGTGAGCGAATGTAAGTCTATACTCATAAACTTCCTACCTGTCCCACCTGTCCTCCCGACTCCCCTTGGCGTTTGGAGATCTCGTCTGTAACCACAGAGACATAGCGGCGCTGTTCGTCGAGGATCATCGCCAGCTGACGGTGAAGCTGTTTGATCTCCAGGTGGATCCGGTTCTGACCCTCAAACACCTGGCGGATCTCCCTGTCGTTGACACTCTCGTACATGTCCTCAACTACACAGAACAGGACACACCTGTTGCATCAAGTATTAGCATCTAGACAGCCTAGCATCTAGTACGTACAAAGCAGCCATATATATGTTATTTATATTTAATTGTCTAGTGAAAAGTATGAACTGGCACCCAGCCCCCCAAAAAAGTAGAGGTGCTGACTAACTGCAAGTAAACTGTAGGCTATAAAGATAAATAAAGAGTTGCACACACTATATACAGTGGGGAGAACAAGTATTTGAGACACTGCCAATTTTGCAGGTTTTCCTACTTACAAAGCATGTAGAGGTCTGTAATTTTTATCATAGGTACACTTCAACTGTGAGAGACGGAATCTAAAACAAAAATCCAGAAAATCACATTATATGATTTTTAAGTAATTCATTTGCATTTTATTGCATGACATAAGTATTTGATCACCTACCAACCAGTAAGAATTCCGGCTCTCACAGACCTGTTAGTTTTTCTTTAAGAAGCCCTCCTGTTCTCCACTCATTACCTGTATTAACTGCACCTGTTTGAACTCGTTACCTGTATAAAAGACACCTGTCCACACACTCAATCAAACAGACTCCAACCTCTCCACAATGGCCAAGACCAGAGAGCTGTGTAAGGACATCAGGGATAAAATTGTAGACCTGCACAAGGCTGGGGTGGGCTACAAGACAATAGGCAAGCAGCTTGGTGAGAAGGCAACAACTGTTGGCGCAATTATTAGAAAATGGAAGTAGTTCAAGATGACGGTCAATCACCCTCGGTCTGGGGCTCCATGCAAGACCTCACCTCGTGGGGCATCAATGATCATGAGGAAGGTGAGGGATCAGCCCAGAACTACACGGCAGGACCTGGTCAATGACCTGAAGAGAGCTGGGACCACAGTCTCAAAGAAAACCATTAGTAACACACTACGCCGTCATGGATTAAAATCCTGCAGCAAATGCAAGGTCCCCCTGCTCAAGCCAGCGCATTTCCAGGCCCGTCTGAAGTTTGCCAATGACCATCTGGATGATCCAGAGGAGGAATGGGAGAAGGTAATGTGGTCTGATGAGACAAAAATAGAGCTTTTTGGTATAAACTACACTCGCCGTGTTTGGAGGAAGAAGAAGGATGAGTACAACCCCAAGAACACCATCCCAACCGTGAAGCATGGAGGTGGAAACATCATTCTTGGGGATGCTTTTCTGCAAAGGGGACAGGACGACTGCACCGTATTGAGGGGAGGATGGATGGGGCCATGTATCGCGAGATCTTGGCCAACAACCTCCTTCCCTCAGTAAGAGTATTGAAGATGGGTCGTGGCTGGGTCTTCCAGCATGACAACGACCCGAAACACACAGCCAGGGCAACTAAGGAGTGGCTCCGTAAGAAGCATCTCAAGGTCCTGGAGTGGCCTAGCCAGTCTCCAGACCTGAACAAAATAGAACATCTTTGGAGGGAGCTGAAAGTCCATATTGCCCAGTGACATCCCCGAAACCTGAAGGATCTGGAGAAGGTCTGTATGGAGGAGTGAGCCAAAATCCCTGCTGCAGTGTGTGCAAACCTGGTCAAGACCTACAGGAAACGTATGATCTCTGTAATTGCAAACAAAGGTTTCTGTACCAAATATTAAGTTCTGCTTTTCTGATGTATCACATACTTATGTCATGCAATAAAATGCAAATTAATTACTTAAAAATCATACAATGTGATTTTCTGGATTTTTGTTTTAGATTCCGTCTCTCACAGTTGAAGTGTACCTATGATCAAAATTACAGACCTCTACATGCTTTGTAAGTAGGAAAACCTGCAAAATCAGCAGTGTATCAAATAATTGTTCTCCCCACTGTATATATATATATATATAAGCTCTCAGTAATTTATTGGGCAAACCACATTTCGGCATCAGTGGTGGCTGCATCAGTGCCTTCTTCACCCTGAAGAAGGCACTGATGCCGAAAATTTGGTGTTTTCCTCAATAAATTACTGGGAGCTTATAAAGTGTGCGACTCTCTTTAGTTACATTTATATTTAATTGACCAAACTATTGAATAATAACATCAATATTAAAGGATATAAAAATATATTAGTCTCAATATAAAAAGTATAGCAAAAGTAAAGAGAGTATGAAGTATGACACATTTTATTGAGTGAAACTAACTGGTTTCTTTATGGACGTCCGGATGCTCTTTCTGATAGTCCTCTTTCTTTTTGTCCAGCTCCTGCTGAAAGTTCTCAAATTCCTCCTGGTACTTGTCCTGATCCTCCTTGGGCATCTCTGCTTCAGGTGGGGGCTTCAATGGGACAGACAAAACAACCACTCTGAACACGCACTGAAGAGACTGAGGCCCCTTACTTACATCACACTTTTTCATACATCTATTGAAGAAACCCACACAATTCACAATTTCACTCAGATCTTCTTCCAATTAAATATTACTGGAGAGTGGTATAACTAAGGACTGGAGAGTGCAAGTGGTAGAAAATAAAATTAGTTACTAGCTCTGAGTGGTACAACTAAGAAAATCTAGTTACCAGTTCTTGGCCAGGTTCTGTTAGTCTGAACGTCAAGAAGGACAGGACATCATGGTCATCTGGAAGACAAAGGTTATATACAAACAAATTATTTTACAAAAAAAAAGCATTAAAACATGATTTTAAAATAAATGTATCATGATGTAACGTTAAGCAGGGGCATCAATTGGGTATGGCAGTCGCCATACCCTAGTTCAACACCAACAATTTAAAATAGGCTACAAAAATCATTCCAATCCCGATTAAAAAGCAAATGCAGTTTAGCGGTATTAGCGGGCTGGCTTTCGAACAATGCGGACGGCTCTGAGCAGGGCGGGAAGGATGTTTTCCCTGCTGGCTTTAGGGCTATGAAAAGCGCATTGACTGAGCTCTGCAGTGAACAGCTAAACTTTTCTCTCAAAACAGTGCAGAGGTGGAAGATGGCTGTAGATGGTTAGGTAGATGCTGTTTGACTTGACATGAAACTATACTAGCCAAGGTGATAATGCCTGGAGTGAATTCATAAATGTTTTGCTGTTCTTTAAATTGCATTTGAGAGTTTTTAAATTGTGAAGAAATGCAGTAAATGACTTCCTTGTCACTTTGCCATACCCTAGGTTTAGCTGAAATGTAGCCTGACAACAATAATCCTAATGTGAGATTTTAAGCAGTATAATCAATGTTTATAGAAGAGTAAACTCTAATTTGAAAGACAAACTTGCTTTTGGCAAGTTTAATAATGCATTACAACCACATTATAATGCATTACACCTGCAGGCCTTAAGTAAACTGTTACCAAGATAACCACCTGCTAGACCTCCCGTGGCAGCTGAGATGCCAAGGTAGCCCTCCTGAGGAATGATCATGTTGTCCACTTTGGTACAGAACTCATAGTCATCCTTATCTGGAGTGAAACCATTGTTGATCAACACCTGAGAGGACAGACAACAGCACATCAACTAAGGGCAATCAATTGAAATAAATGACCAATATAAAAAGATTAGGGTATTTTTGTCTGCTTAATGCAAAACTGTTCCGTATCCATGTCTCTGTTGATGTGGAGAAAAACAGAGTAAAAGGCAGAGATCAGTGTATGGACAGTGGTATCGATGAGTACAAGGGAGAGAGATTATTTGAGAAGGTTGATTGAATATTCTCCTACCGTTAGCGTCTTCTTGTAGTATGTTATTTTGGCTCTGACAGGATAGGGTTTGTTACGAAAGTCTCTTAAGCATGTCCCCAGCGCTTGAGTCGTGCCATCACTGCAACAAAAAACATCCTGTTTAGACACTAAAACTAAACACTATATTATTATAGTAGTAGTACTTCATACAGTATATTTCAAGAGAAATGAATTGATCCCCACAAGCATCGACAATAACAAAAGAACAAAGGCAAACGTCGATCCATATAAAGTATGAAATACACATGCATGATAGCAGCACGAGAAGCAAGTGCAGAGGATAAAATGCTCCATATACAGTATGGTCAAACAAATAACATTTCCAAAAGTAAATGATTTGGAGATTTGAGAAATTAAGGAAAACATTTCAAATGTAATTTACTCCTATTATTGTAAACATTTTCAGCAGTGACAAAACAGAAAACAGTGTGACATAGGCCTAGATCAACTGGCACAGAAAAGCGATTTACATTTTTCACTGTCAAGGGAGATTAGGAAGAGATTAAGGATTATAATCTCCAACCACAAATATACTGTATAATCATATTTTCTAATCTTCTTTAAATTGTTTACATTTTCATTTGGTGATGTCAGTTAGGCAAGGAAATGTTGACTTACTTTGGGTGATCATAAACAAGTTTGCCATTGTTTCCCACCACCAGCACAGCAGGGTTATTTTTCTAAAACAAACAGTTAAACATTAAATCTGTAATATACCTAATCTATGTTTTGAAGGTCATTTGGGTTTCTTTTATCCAATCCCAGCATACGTCCTCATCAGACCTAGGCATACCACTTTAAAGTATGAAAAAAATGTTTGTATCCAAGATAAGTGTGTACAGTATCAATCTATTCTTCCTATTATTTGCATTGTAATAATTGAATATTAAGGTGTTAATAACAAGTATTATAAACTTTTTGCTTTACCTATGATAAAATAAATGAATGCATTTATTATAAATGCATTATATTTAGTATTTTATGAATAAATAATTAATATGGCCACCAACCTTCCCATCGTTGTCAAAGGAATCGAAGAAAATGCCGATGCCGTTCCAGTTGTCAGCAGCTCCATAGACAGGACCATCTAGGCCTTGTGCAGTGGTGAACCATATCGCCTATTAGAGGGACAGACAGGGAGAAATTAAGACATGGAGAGACTGAAGGTCTAAAAATACGTGTTTAACTGTCTAAATAACTACATGTAACAGTAGAGCAGCAGAGGGACAGACAGATAAACATAGGGACAATAGATACAGTAAGATGTACAGTACAGTGAAAGCATAATGTAGGAATTGAACCCACGACCTTGGCGTTAATAGCACCACGCTCTCACCAACTGAGTCACACAGGGACAGGACCGACTTTGAGAGATAAACATGGTTATTAACCTGAAGTCTGAGCCTGCAGGTCAGCACAAGACCACATCCTCTACTAGCACAACAGCCGCCATGATATAGGCTAGTTTTGTCTCCACTAATCTTTCCTTATATCGGCTGTTTAATTAACCATGCTTACGTTTACTTTTCTTGTTTGTATTCAAGATACAATTATAAAATGTTCATGACGTCTTCATCCATAAACGTCATTTACACAATTACTGTCCAGCCCTAGTGCTGGCCCTGATATTTAACTGGCTCTTTTCACATTGTCCTTTCTAGCATTGTTCCAGCAACAAAGGTGGATGCGTAACCAGGCCTGTAAAGCACAGCTTGATCAGCTACAGCATGTAGTGTGAAAAGGTCTAGAGCAGGGATGGGCACTTTTGTAGGCCCCTCGGACCAACTTACTGTTGAGAGTTAGAATAATAGAATACACAAGGTGATTTCGTTGTGGATCAGCAGTCACTTAATTAGCCCATGTCAGCAAAAAACATTTTGATTGGTAAGTTAGTCTAGCGGCCAGCTATCTAAACTTGTATTAAGCATGGTCGAACTACCGACCGGGGTGTGGCCCATCGTTCATCAGTTACCATTTTAAAAACCGCAAACGTGCCTCCACCCTATGGCAAAATGTGTAGAATTGCAGGAAATGATCTGTAAAACTGCAAATGTATCTCTCCACCCCATGGCAAAATGTGTAGATTTGCAGGAAATGAACTTTAAAAAGGTATTTTTTTCACTTCGCTGTCGAGGGGGCCGCTAAAATGTTTTGCTTTTGGGGGGCCGCTAAAATGTTTGCTACACTGCTTGCTAAAACGTTTTTTTTTTGTGGCCCCCACCCCATAATAATAATTATAATCAATCAATGTTGCCCATCCCTGGTCTAGAGTCAAAGTGAATGGAAGCCATAGAAAGGAGGTTCCAGCAACTATGGTACAGTTGTAACCAGGCCAGCACAGCTCAGCAGTGAAAGAGTCAGAGTGTATGGAAATCAGGAGGTGTTATTCAGTTCTTACCAGGCCGTCGGCTCCCATCCTCCCCCGTCCAGACACACGGAAGGTCACCTCAGCCTCCCAGTGGTCAAAGTTGACCGCGTTTTTGGTCCAGACTGAGCCCTTCTGACTCCTGAGAGAGGGGGTGATACGGACCTGGTCGGCACTGGGGATGGCATCTGGAATACAAGGAGGTTGATAGTTAGCAGGGTTGGGGGGTACATTCTAGTTTATGTTCAATTAAGTCATACTGGCAAATCCTAACGTACAAAAATATTGAGCTTCGCATGTCATGAATTCAAAGAGTTTCCTGAATTTAAACTGTACAGAAACTGTGAAAACTCACTCCGTGAAGGTCCAGAAATACTTGTTTAACTGTATAGTGTAACTACAGATGGAGAAACAGTAGCCTATTGGCCCAGGGAAAACAATTGACCAGGAGGTTCATTTTCTTACAAAGCTTGGGGTTAGGAACATAAATGTTTGTTCAGCCCATGTACACCTTAATATGAGTGCTCCTGGGATTGTGTCCAAGGCCCTCTGTCAGCAACATTAATATTATATCTGAAAGCCTCCTATGCAAACGACGGAGAGACATTAGAATAGGCCTAGTATTGTTAACGCTGCAGTAGAGGTCACTCAACCATAGAGACTCTTGTGAAGAGCTATGCAATGTCAAGCCATGCTTGTCAGGCTTATGGCTAGAAACAAGACCATGCTATATCTAAACTACCTCACTCGTGTTAGGCTTTATCATCTAGCCAAGAGAGATATGGCCTTGGAAAGGAGAAATATGGGTAATAGCAACTAGCCTAACGCAACCAGGCTTTGGCATATGGACCTTTGCCTATACTTATTTGCTGTGACCAAATTCTAAATTACAATTGTACAACATGTGTAGAGCGACATGCCATCTCGCTAAAGCCTATACTGATAAGAAATGGGCACCATTGTAAAATTGACTCCAAAAATATGGTTGTGTCGTCAGCTGGACCTTTGCACGGTTTTTAGAGATACTGATTTGTTAACCCTTTACGCTACACAAAACCATGCTAGGCTAGAGGACAAGCAGACCACTTCAATAGGAAAGGTAGCCTAAAGCAAGCAATGCAATGCTCATGAACTTCAAAAGCACTCTCAAATATTAGGTATTGTGAAACCTGCCTGCTGTAGCATGTGTGTGGTTGTGTGTTGCAAGGAGAAAGCCAAAACTTGGACTAGCAAGAGGAAAGTTCACATTCCAGTTTGATCTGTCTATGTGCAAGTCATCCTTGTGTCTTTGTTTGTAAGACTCTGTATTGTTGAAAGGAACCAACTGAACTATTATATGTCAGCGTGTAGTTACTATGCCTGTGATGTGGTTGTCCCACCTAGCTATCTTAACATGAATGCACTAACTGTATGCTATCTTAACATGAATGCACTAACTGTATGTCGCTCTGGATAAGAGTCTGCTAAATGGATAAAATGAACAAACGTAAATTAATGTGACAAGGTAGTATTCAATGTAGTTACTTGGTAACTGAAGCTGTTTAATGATGTCAGCATATTGCATGATGGTGCATGTGTATACCTTTCACATTTCTCTTCTCCTGCTTCTCTAAAATATCCTAAAGCTGCTGGCTATTTCACTGCCATGACATGTTTAAACGAGTTTGATATCAGGCCACTATGTATAGATACTGACAGCCAACTGTAGCAAGCCAAGTCTGCACAGTCGAGAACTTCTCTACACAACAATGATCTGATCCACCTACAGAACTTCTCTACATCAGGCACTGGCAGTAGCCGGCTAGCTACAACAAACGTGTCAAATGTATCCCCCACATGCAAAATAGCTACATTCACTGGCTAGAGTGGCAAGATAGCTATCGCAGCTGATTTTCCATTGTACCTATTTATAGGTTATGATAATTGATAACGGTAAGCAATAGCCTAGCCAACCACAAATTGAAACTTACTTCCACTATGCACCCAAAAAGGAATACTCCCGTCGGCTTGAGACAGGTGCGGTCCCTTGAAACTGTACTTGTATTCAAACCGGCGGTGTGGGGTTTCTTCGGTCGAGGCACCAGCGACGATATTATTGGCATTACTGTGGTGAAATGTTAAAGTTAATATTAATAAACAAGCATCAGCAGACAGACCCCGTCCTATGGACACCGCCATCTTTTGGTATCACTGCTTACTTAGCATTGAAACAGAGAGGATGACGGGAATGCCTGTTCGGCCAACAGGGCGCTTTCTTATTGGTTGAATCCTAGACACAGCCGAGTTGCGGCCACTGACGTATAATAAGAACGGTTGCGGCTTGCTTGTACTTGACAGAACGCCACTGAATTGATACATTGTGGCCTTAAATAAATTATACATTGTAGCATGATAGGTGTCTGCATTTATTTCACAATGTAAACAACGATTATGTTACTCGATGTTTTTACAATGTAACCAGTCCTTTTTTCTTTTTTTCTTTTAAAGAAATGTGCCATATTTAGATGATCAGGTTTTATCCAGTGTGATGTCTATTTTGTATTTATTTTATTTATTTAACCTTTATTTTATCAGTGAGTCATACTGAGACTAAGGTATATTTTATAGATGAGCCCTGAATTACATAAATTACAGAAAATACACACAGCAAAATATAAATACAAAATGAAAGCAGAAAGAAAAAACTGGTCATAAAAAACTAACACATTCATCAGTAATAAGGTCCTCAATCAGCCTTCTGAATTGCCCTAGAGGCACCAGAACATCACATTTTGAAGATTGTTACACAAATAAGGTGCAAGAAAACTAAAAGCTGATTTACCTAACTCAGTAGAGACCAAAGGAATTTCCAGAGTTAGCCATCCCTGAGACCGGGTATGGTAACTCCTATGTCTAAAGTTTAGTAATGATGTTAGACACAGTGGGACTTTTTGTAAAAGTTCTTTATAAATGAAAACATAGCAATGTACCAACCTACGTGACATCAAAGAGGGCCAACCAACTTTCCAGTAGAGAATGCTGTTACGCCCTGACCTTTAAATGCCTGTTGTTTCTCGTAGGTTTGGTCAGGGTGTGAATTTCTATGTATAGATTCTATGTTATTGTATTTCTATGTTGGCCGGGTGTGGTTCCCAATCAGAGGCAGCTGTCGATCGTTGCCTCTGATTGGGGATCATACTTAGGTAGCCATTTTGCCTACCTATGTTGTGGGATCTTGACTCTTGTTTGTGTGTAGCCATTGTGAGCGGCATGGTACGTTGCGTTTGTTGTTTTGTCGTGTGTTGTAGTGAATAAACATGTATGCATTCCATGCTGCACCTTGGTCCAATCCTGTACTCAACGAACGTGACAGAAGATCCCACCACCAACGAACCAAGCAGCGTGCCCAGGAGGAGCAAACACCCTGGACACAGCGGGAAGCTACATTGGTAGATGTCCTCCTCGGTTGGGGGGAAATTACATTTTACATTTACATTTTAGTCATTTAGCAGACGCTCTTATCCAGAGCGACTTACAGTTAGTAATTACAGAGGAGGAAGCCGTCCGTTACGGTGAGGTAATGGAGGAGGGCTGGTGTCCGGATCAACGGCGACGCCAGCGGTGCCGACGACGAATAAAGCCAGAGAGACAGCCTCAATAATACAAATTGGGGGGGGGGGGGGCACACTGGGTGGTTGACGAAGCAGCAGGAGGCCGTGAAAGGGCTTTATTTTAGAGGTCCTCCAAGACCTGCGGATCAGCAGTTTGAGAGAGGAGGCCACCACATTACGGGGGCTGATAGCGAGGATAGAGCAGGAGAGCTCCCTTCAAAAGGAGGCGCTGCAGGAGGCCCGTAGGGAGAAGGAATTAGTGGATGCACGGAGAGAGGAGCTGGCCAGGCAACAGAAGGAGCGTGTGTTCATTGAGGAACCTAGCTATGCGGGAAAAAATACGCACTGTGTCGCCAGTTTGCCTTCACAGCCCAGTGCGTCCTGTGCCAGCGCCCTGCACGTGCCGTGCGAAAGTGGGCATCCAGCCAGGACGGGTTGTGCCAGCTTTACACTCCAGACCTCCAGTACGCCTCCACGGTCCAGTATATCCTGCTCCGGTTCTACGCACTGTGTCACCAGTGCGCCTCCCCAGCCTGGTACGCCCCGTACCTGCTACCCGCACCAAACCAGTGGTGCGTGTCGCCAGCCCGGTACGCCCTGTACCTGCTCCTCGCACCAAACCAGTGGCGCTTGTCGCCAGCCCGGTACGTCCCGTACCTGCTCCCCGCACCAAACCAGTGGTGCGTGTATCCAGTCCGGTACGGCCCGTACCTGCTCCCCGCACCAAACCAGTGGTGCGTGTCGCCAGCCCGGTACGCCCCGTGCCTGCTCCTCGCACCAAACCAGTGGTGCGTGTTCCCAGCCCGGTGCGGCCTATGCCTGTTCCTCGCACCAGACCAGTGGTTCGTGACCCCAGCCCGGTACGGCTGGTGCCAGAGCAGTCCACTCCACCGGTGCCCAGTCCAGCTCCGGTCAGCTGCTCCACTCCAGTGCCAGAGCAGTCCGCTCCACCGGTGCCAAGTCCAGCTCCGGTCAGCTGCTCCACTCCTGTGCCAGAGCAGTCCGCTCCACCGGTGCCTAGTCCAGCCCAAGTCAGCTGCTCCAGTCCAGAGCCAGAGCAGTCCGCTCCACCGGGGTCCAGTTCAGCTCCGGTCAGCGGCTCCACTCCAGAACCAGACGTCAACCCCTCTCCAGGGTCGGGGCCTCCCACACCAGGGTCCAGACAGGGCTTGGTGCATCGCGGGGGGACTGAGAGGGGAAGCATCACGCCGAGGTCCAGACCGGACCAGGGATGCAACGGGGAGGCAGTAAGGGAGAGGACGTCACGCCCGGAGCCGGAGCCGCCACCGAGGCTAGATGCCCACCCGGACCCTCCCCTGTTAAGTTAGGTTTTGCGGCCGGAGTCCGCACCTTTGGGGGGGGGGGGGGTACTGTCACGCCCTGACCTTTTAAATGCCTGTTGTTTCTCGCTGGTTTGGTCCGGGTGTGAATTTCTATGTATAGATTCTATGTTATTGTATTTCTATGTTGGCCGGGTGTGGTTCCCAATCAGAGGCAGCTGTCTATCGTTGTCTCTGATTGGGGATCATACTTAGGTAGCCATTTTGCCTACCTATGTTGTGGGATCTTGACTCTTGTTTGGCTTGTTTGTGTGTAGCCATTGTGAGCTTCACGTTACGTTGCTTTTGTTGTTTTGTCGTGTGTTGTAGTGAATAAACATGTATGCATTCCACGCTGCACCTTGATCCAATCCTGTACTCAACGAACATGACAAATGCAGTGATGAGTACTAGAATTGTCGCCCGTAATAAAGCGCAGTGTGATATGATAAACTCCATCTAACGGCTTTAATGAAGTGGCACCTGCGTTCATATAGATGATGTCACCATAGTCTAGGACCGATAGGAACGGCGACTGAATAATTTGCTTTCTACTATTTAGCGAGAGGCGGGACGTATTTCTATAGAAGAAGCCCATTTTTATTCTCAGCTTCTTAACTAACTCATCAATATGCTTTTTAAAAGACAGCTTTTCATCTATCCAGATGCCCAGATATTTGTAAGCAGGGACACGATCAATATGGACACCATCCTAAGTACATATGTTTAAATCATCAGACTTATTTTTATGCGCTCTAGAACAACATACAGTGCATTCGGAAAGTATTCAGACCCCCTGATTTTTTCCACATTGTTATGTTACAGCCTTATTCTAAAATTTATTAAATAAATGTTTTTCCTCGTCAATCTACACACAATACCCCATAATGACAAAGCGAAATAGGTTTCTGAAAATATTTGCGAATGTATTAACAATAAAAAACAGATTTAGCTTTTTACATAAGTATTCAGACCCTTTGCTATGAGACTCGAAATTGAGCTCAGGTGCATCCTGTTTCCGTTGATCATCCTTGAGATGTTCCTACAACTCAATTGGAGTCCACCTGTGGTCAATTCAATTGATTGGACATGATATGGAAAGGCACACACCTGTCTATATAAGGTCCCACAGGTTTTTGCATGTCAGAGCAAAAACTAAGCCATGTGGCCATTTGATTAATTCTTCAGAAGTCTTATGGCTTGGGGGTAGAAGCTGTTAAGGTGCCTTTTGGTCCTAGACTTGGCGCTCCGGTACTGCTTGCAGTGCGGTAGCAGAGAGAACAGTCTATGTCTTGGGTGACTGGAATCGTTGACAATTTTTGGGGCTTTCCTCTGACACCGCCTAGTGTGCACTGTATATTTAGTTTTACCTGCATTCAGTATTAATTTCAGGTCAATAAAGTTTTTCTGTAATATAATGAAGGCAGACTGTAATTCAGATAAAGCCCGGTCAACCGTTGGGACAAAAGCATACACAACAGTATCATCGGCATACAAGTGCAGGTTACAATTTTTTACAGACAAGTCGATATTGTTAATGTAAACAGTAAAAAGTACAGGACCCAGAATCGACACCTGCGGGACACCTTTCGTAATATCCAGGAAACTTGATTCAACACCATCAGTTTATATACAGTGGGGAAAAAAAGTATTTAGTCAGCCACCAATTGTGCAAGTTCTCCCACTTAAAAAGATGAGAGAGGCCTGTAATTTTCATCATAGGTACACGTCAACTATGACAGACAAATTGAGAATTTTTTTTCCAGAAAATCACATTGTAGGATTTTTTATGAATGTATTTGCAAATTATGGTGGAAAATAAGTATTTGGTCACCTACAAACAAGCAAGATTTCTGGCTCTCACAGACCTGTAACTTCTTCTTTAAGAGGCTCCTCTGTCCTCCACTCGTTACCTGTATTAATGGCACCTGTTTGAACTTGTTATCAGTATAAAAGACACCTGTCCACAATCTCAAACAGTCACACTCCAAACTCCACTATGGCCAAGACCAAAGAGCTGTCAAAGGACACCAGAAACAAAATTGTAGACCTGCACCAGGCTGGGAAGACTGAATCTGCAATAGGTAAGCAGCTTGGTTTGAAGAAATCAACTGTGGGAGCAATTATTAGGAAATGGAAGACATACAAGACCACTGATAATCTCCCTCGATCTGGGGCTCCATGCAAGATCTCACCCCGTGGGGTCAAAATGATCACAAGAACGGTGAGCAAAAATCCCAGAACCACACGGGGGGACCTAGTGAATGAC